TTATTGAAGCACTGTGCAAGGGACTTGGGCAGGTGTGTTGCTCCACTCACCTATCAAACCCATTCCACAAGACAGATCATTATCTGTGCCACACACACCCTCAGAAAACTTTGTTTCTGTAGCAAGGACTCAATGCAACCACCCTTCTAGAATTTGGGATCTATTTCAAGGCAGAACAGTCCATTTTCCCTACAAAGCAGCTTGCCTTGGTCGCCAGAGGGCGATGCTGCCACAGAATTCAGAGGAGCCTGCTAAGTGCACAGAACTGGCTGCCTTCCAGCTCCTGCAATTTGATTAGCCCCTCTTGCTGTTTGGCCTATCACTCGAGGCTCCTGCTGGATACCCCTCGTGGTTATTTCATAACCCTCCAGTAGTCGAGATCAGAACTCATCACAGCTCCTCAGCAGTCAAAGCAGCAGGCAGGTCCCGCTGTCGGCAGTGACGGATTAGTAAGAGTATTCTGGGCAGCTCCTGCATTCTCAAGAGGAGCCCGGCAGATGAAGTTTGCCTTGCACAGAAAGGTAAACATCTCAAAAGGCAGGAGATAGCAATTTAGAAAGAGGCAGACAGTCCTCTTCCTGCACAGCTATATTATTTCCTGCAGGTTATTACCAGCGTTGGGAGGGAAAGTTACAAAAACCTACTAAAATCAGCACCAAAGTAATTTAAAATCATGCCCCCTCTAAATAAAGCAAATTTATAGAAGTTCCTTCCCATTTTTTAAAAGTGTTTTGCTAAGTTTCTCTCCACAAAAGCGACAGAATAGCATGCTTCAGATCCTATCGATGCAAGTGTGAAGTTAGGAATATTTTTTGCCTCAATGTGCATTATTTTGAACTTATTTTGCTGCTTATTCACCTGATTCAGAGAGGTCCTTTTGGAGCTCTTCTCAATCTCCTTGAGTTTTCAGGATCCTGAATAATCTAGTACCATCTGCAAATCTGGTCGCCTCCTCACTGCCCATCCCTATCTCCAAATAACTTATTAACAAGGTAAGAAGCACACGTCCTCAACCCCCCTCGATTCTGGGAGTGTCAGTTTATTCCTATTCTTTGTTTCTTTAGTAAGTTATTCATCCCTAAGAGACCCTGCCCTTTTATCCCACAAGTTTACTTAGGAGGCTTCAGTGAGGCACATTTTGAAAGCCCGAATGTGCGACCAGATCACCTCTACCCACACGCTTGTTGACACTCTCAAAGAACTCTAAACCAGCTTTGCGGGACCCAATACTTCTTTAGCAAGACTTCTATATTCTGCATCATTCCACCTTTAATACCACTTTCTCCCAATATACGGTACCTGGGACAGATGCTACGTTGACTGCCTATAATTTCCCAGATCCCCATTAAAAAACAAACCCAACAACAAGTAGTGTTATCTACTTTCCAGGCAGATTTTGAGTACAAGTTATGGATTAAGTTAGGAGGTGAGCAATGTCACATCTGAGATCTTTCAAGAACTCCTGGAGATTATGTTAGTTTTTGTCTATAATCCCTAGACTGGCCTTCCAAGTCCTCTGTCCTCCAGGTGTTTTGCACTAAAACTCCCATAATCTACAACTGCTGGCTGGCGCTGGCTGGGAATTGTGGTGTCCAACATCCTTTGGACCATCCCAAGTGAGGGAAGGCTCTGTCACAGTGTGATACTAGCTCCACCTGGTATGCAGGCTGAGACCCTACCTGCCCACGGACTGTCTCGCCAGAGTGGTGCATGCTCTAGTTATCTCTCGCTTGGACTACTGTAATGCGCTCTACGTGGGGCCACCTTTGAAGGTGACCCGGAAACTGCAATTAATCCAGAATGCGGCAGCTAGACTGGTGACTGGGAGCGGCCGCCGAGACCACATAACACTGGTCTTGAAAGACCTACATTGGCTCCCAGTACGTTTCCGAGCACGTACTGGTGCTGACCTTTAAAGCCCTAAATGGCCTCGACCCAGTATACCTGAAGGAGCGTCTCCACCCCCATCGTTCAGCCCGGACACCGAGGTCCAGCTCTGAGGGCCTTCTGGCAGTTCCCTCACTGCGAGAAGTGAGGTTACAGGGAACCAGGCAGAGGGCCTTCTCAGTAGTGGCGCCTGCCCTGTGGAACACCCTCCCTTCAGATGTCCAGGAAATAAACAACTACAGTGGTACCTCGGGTTAAGAACTTAATTCATTCTGGAGGTCCGTTCTTAACCTGAGGTACCACTTTAGCTAATGGGGCCTCCCGCTGCCACCGCGTGATTTCAGAGGGCCTTCTTGGTAGTGGCGCCCGCCCTGTTGAACGCCCTCCCATCAGATGTCAAGGAAATAAGCAGCTATCTTATTTTTAAAAGATATCTGAAGGCAGCCCTGTTTAGGGAAGTTTTAATACTTAATGCTGTATCGTTTTTAATACTCAATTGGGAGCCACCCAGAGTATTATTATTATTATTATTATTATTATTATTATTATTATTATACATCAACTTGGACAGTTCTTCAGGCTAGCTTCCTGAAAAGGAACCATTGCGGGATTCAAGTTCCAACATCTTACCATTCAAGCACTCCATCTCTGGCTCCTCCCCCTCCGGCTGCTTCTTCAGCCTGTTCGCCTTCCTCCTCTTCTTGCAGTAAAACATGAGGCCCAGGACAATGATGATGTATGCCACCGCAGCTCCAACGGACAGCCCGATGGTCTGGATCATCTTGTAGGGAGTGTGGCTGCTTGGTGCACCCTCCCTTTCTGTCACCGGTTTGTCTGGAAGCAAGAAGGAGGGCATGACATGAAACAGAGGCCTGCGATGCTGCCTCCACATCACAGCGGCCACATCTGGTCACCACATGCCACAGTACATACCACAACCAAGCATGCTCTTAGCTTTTCTTTGCAATGTACAGAATTAGCCCGACAACCCTCCCTTCATCAGGACAGCTGTGCCAGCATGTGCTGCCTCTTGAGTAGGCTGAACGGTTCTTTTCAGATGTTGTTAGAACCAGTCTGCGTAGGGTATTTTGTGTCCAACGGTGGCTACCACCTAGTGATGCTGTTAAGTGTCATAGTATGCAGACAGGAGAATATTCTGCCCTTCTCCTTTTCAACCACAAGTATGAAGAATATGTCTTTCCAAAAAACAGAGTCACTTTTTTGCATCCCAAATACATTTGCCTGACTACAGTGGTGCCCCACAAGACGAATGCCTCGCAAGACGAAAAACTCGCTAGATGAAAGGGATTTTCGGTTTTGCGTTGCTTCGCTAGACGAATTTCCCTATGGGCTTGCTTCGCAAGACGAAAACGTCTTGCGCTTTTTTCTTAAAGCCGCTTGAAGAGGCGCAGTTGCGACGGACCGTGCTTCGCAAGACGAAAAACCTCGCGGAACGAATTATTTTCGTCTTGCGAGGCACCACTGTACTCTGAAATGGTCACTTATTTCATAAAATTTGTATGTTGCTTGTCTGTACTTTAAAAAAACAACAACCCTCAGAGCAGTTTGCAAAGAGAATAAAACAATAACACGGATTTCTTAAAAAGCTTCTAAAACATTCAAAAATAACTGAAATCATGGACTTAGGAATTTATATAAGTTAAGTGATGTTTAACATGTACAATTTTGAACTGAAAAGATATAAGGATGTTAATGAACTAAGTTAGGTTTATAAGAATTAGGATTTGGAAAGCCGTTGTAAGGATATGCATGGAAACTCAACCAAGGGGAAGCGAGGAAGTCACTTAACAATGTTAATAACAATATTCAATAAGGTTATGATTTATGTTTGTTTGTTTGTTTGTTTGTGTGTTTTGTTTGTTTATAATTTTGTGAAAATTAATAAAACAAAACAAAAATAACTGAAATCAATGAAATTTTTTAAAAACCATATTAAAGCCTATGTCAGTCAATCAATCAATCAATCAATCAATCAATCAATCAATCAAGATCCTTTATTAGGCATAGACCTTTAAAGCCTATGTCAACATTCCACACATATTTATAAATGGGTAGGCTTGCCTAAAGAAAGATGTTTTTAGCAGCCGCAGAGAAGATTACAGTGAAAGGATCTTCCCAAGGTCGACAGGCACTACAAGACTGATTTCTTACAAATGTGCAATGAGTAGTATGTGGCGCGCCTTTAACAGTGCCAGTTCTGCAGAGTGAAGTGGCTGAGCGGGCATATTATGCGAACATCCCTTACCCACGACGTGGAGGAAAGCTTCGTGGTGCTTGATGTTGCAGCTGTTTCCGGCGATGCACGTATACTTGCCGGAATCCTCACTGGTGACGTCATAGATTACCAGAGAGTTGTTAGACATAATTTGGACCCTGCAAAAGGAAGCAGACAAGAGGGGGGGCAGTAAGCAGAACCGCCCTAGGTAGCTCCAGAGCACGGTTCTGTGCAAACAGAATACACCTGCACCACAGAACGGCATCTTTAGGAGGGCAGCTCTAGTGAACTACTACTAGCATTACTACGTGTTCTTGCTGTTGTTATTATAGCAGCAATAATAATAATAATAATAATAATAATAATAATAATACAGTAGTACCTTGGTTATCGAACAGCTTAGTTCTTGAATGTTTTGGCTCCTGAATGCTGCAAACCTGGAAGTGACTGTTCCGGTTTGGAAACTATTTTTGGAAGCCAAACGTCCGACGGGGCTTCCGATAGGCTGCAGGAGGTTCCTGCAGCCAATCAGAAGCCACGCTTTTGTTTCCAAAAGTTTTGGAAGTCAGATGGACTTCCGGAACAGATTCTGTTCGACTTCCAAGGTATGGCTGTTATTCAATTTATATACTGCCCTTTTCCCGAAGATCCCAGGGCAATTATAACATCAAAAACATAACCGACGTGGCATAATAAAAAAAAAAAAAAATCAGAGAAGAAAATCATAATGACAGTCCACTCATATTGCAAAGGCCAAAGGCCTGGGTAAAGAATAATGTTTTTGCCAGGCGCCTAAAGACATACAATCATAGGATTGTAGAGTTGGAAGGGAACCCAAGGGTGACTGAGTTCATCCCCCTGCAATACAAGAATCTTTTGCCAAACAAGGGGCTCGAACCCACAACCTGAGAATAAGAATCCTGTGCTCTACCAACTGAGCTATCCCAGGCGTCGCCCACCCAAGGAGGCTGCAAAAAAGAGCCAGTGGAGGGGTATCACTGGTTGGATGGGGGGATGTAGCGTGGGGAGTGACAAGGGCCAAATTTGACCCCTGGGGATTCCAACAGATCAAGTCCACTGGTGCACCCTGACCTTCACCTCCTTCCCTACAAAGCTTTAGGCCAAAGCCTTTCCCCACTCTGCTACCAGCGATCCTTTTGAGCAGGAGTGTGCTTCCACTCTGGGTGCTTCCACCTACCTTCCACTGCAACAGTGCTGTACTGCTTTGAGGCACACTCTTGTTAAAGAGTCTGCCTGGCTTTTTAATCAACCCTAAACGCTGGTTCTTGCCACATGCCCTTCAGAGCAAAAGGGATGATCCCTTAATTGCCTGCCTATTGTGTTCGCTTCGGCTGTGCGGGAACCGGAGAGAGCTGCGCCATGGGCTAGGGAGTGCCATGCTCTTCCCACGCACATATACAAAAGGAGGTGGTTGTGGAGAAGTGCAGCCAGAGGACTCAAGAGGCCTGGAGGTGACCCCTGTCTTGCAGAAGAGAGCCTCCCTTTCCGTAAAAACACAGCAGGCAAGAGACTTGGAGAACCGTCAAGACACAGGCTTCTGATTCGGCTCAGTATGGCAACATGGTTGGGTCAACTAAGCTGCAGCTACTGCAAAAATGCTTCTATTTATCTGCAGAACTTGAAATTCAAGTAGACAAGGCCCTGCTATAAAGCAACGGGTGAATGCAAGAGGCTCGTTGCAGGAGGTGATGGAGGAACAAGTTAAGGGCTGTATACAACTAAATCATACTCCGAAGCCAGCGTGGTGCAGTGGTTAGAGGCCTGGACCAGGACCTGGGAGACCAGAGTTCAAATCCCCATTCGGGCATGAAGTTTGCTGGGTGATCCTGGGCCAGTCCCTTAACTCTTAAGCCTAACCTACTTCGCAGGGTTGTTGCTGTTGTGAGGATAAAATGGGGAGACGTATGGGCACCACCTAGAGCTTCTTGGGATAAAGGCAGGATATAAACACAAGAAAGAGCAGACTTTGTGAAATCAACAGACACAAGTAACTTGGACGTCCACTGGGTTGAGTCCAACGCTGACTTCCCTTCATTCTCCTCTCCCCATGTACCCCCCAAAAGAAAAGCCTATGCAGCAGATCTTGGGGGGCTTCAGAAGAGAAAAGTTCCTTCATCCAAGTGGAAGTCTGTTGTGTGAGCAGGACAGCAGCACTGGTGGTGCAACTTAGCGGGTGCAAGGATGCCTTTCCCCTATAGAGAATTTTTTGGAGGGACAGACCATTACCTGGGCCCGAATTTGTCAACTTCCAGAATCCTGTCCTTCCCTTTCCACTGGATTTGTGGCGCCGGGTCGCCTTCGGCTTGGCACTGGAACATGGCTGTGTGTCCCGGGTAGACGGTTGTGTCTTCTGGCTTCAGCTTAAAGCTTATGAAAACTAAAAATAAGGAAGAAACTTCACATTGTTTGGTGGCTGTTTTTCATATCATTGTATGAGTTTAGGTACGTTAGAGTTTGCCACTTTTTTCTTTCCCAGAAGAAAAGGCAAGACTGAAAGACAGCTGCACCCAGGTGCAGACATTTAATTTGAGAGCATGTTGGAAATCGAAATGGATGGCAACCATCAGCTCTGAGAGCCACTCTCCCCAGAAGTCTCAGTAGCCCGCTGACGACTAAGCCACTTATTTACACATCTATATACGGGATGTGGGTGGCGCTGTGGGTAATACCACAGAGCCTAGGACTTGCCGATCAGAAGGTTGGCCGTTCAAATCCCCACGACGGAGTGAGCTCCCGTTGCTCGGTCCCTGCTCCTGCCAACCTAGCAGTTCGAAAGCACGTCAAAGTGCAAGTAGATAAACAGGTACCATTCCGGCGGGAAGGTAAACGGCATTTCCGTGCGCTGCTCTGGTTCCCCAGAAGCGGCTTAGTCATGCTGGCCACATGACCCGGAAGCTGTACGCCAGCTCCCTCGGCCAATAAAGCGAGATGAGCGCCGCAACCTTTTACCTTTACCTTTATACTGCTTTTCCAGTTGTTGAAAAAGGCTGTGCTATTGGGGGGGGGGTGCACACGTGCGCTATGATTCGCAATATATTGCCAGGTCAAAAATTATGAAACCAACATCACAATATGGACTTCAAACCAGTTTGGGATGATATATCACCCAGCCCTACTACAGCGGTCCCAAAATGGAAAGAAGTCCCGATGAAAAAATGGATACAAAAAATTATGGAATATGCAGAAATGGCGAAACTTCCCAGAAAAAGAAGAAATCAAGATAACTTTTTATAAAAAGCTATACAACTTTTTATAAAGAATGGAATTGGTTTATTGAATATTTACAAAGAAACTGTAAACAGATAAGAACATTGGCAGGACTACAGTCGTACCTCGGCTCCCGAATGCCTTGGGAGTCAAACATTCCGGCTCCCAAAAACTAGAAGTGATTGTTTTGGTTTTTGAACTTTCTTTTGGAAGCCGAATGTCCGACGGGGCTACTGCAGCTTCCAACTTATTGGAAGCTCCTGCAGCCAATCAGAAGCCACGCTTTGGTTTCTGAACATTTCGGAAGTCAAACGGACTTCCGGAACGGATTCCGTTCGACTTCCGAGGTACAACTGTATTGTAATAACCTGCAGTTTTATAAGAGTATACATTTAAAGTAGATGAGCAAATGATTAAAGTAATATGGAATATGCAGAAAATATAAAAAAATAAATTTAAGGAACCGCAAAGAGAGGGGGTAAGAAGTTGAGTTTTGAAATGCTAAAATGATTGCAAAATTATTGAAATGTATAAAATCGGAAATCATAAGAGAAACCTGTGACACCACCCAATACCTCCACATAGTTCCATCCATATTTCTGATATTACGATTTATCAGTACATCGCAATATCTAGCTGGTGATATATCAAAATGTTGAAAACCAAATACAGTGGTACCTAAGTTTAAGTACTTAATTTGTTCCGGAGGTCTGTTCTTAACCTGAAACTGTTCTTAACCTGAAGCACCACTTCAGCTAATGGGGCCTCCTGCTGCCGCTACGCCGCTGGAGCACAATTTCTGTTCTCATCCTGAAGCAAATTTCTTAACCTGAAGCACTATTTCTGGGTTAGCGGAGTCTGTAACCTGAAGCATCTATAACCTGAAGCATATGTAACCTGAGGTACCACTGTATTGCCCAGCCTTAGTCTGTCTGTCTGTATGCCCCCCCCTCTCTCTCTCTCTCTCACACACACACACACACACACACACAAAACAGCATTACAAGGCTCACAGAAGCACAGAATTGTAGAGTTGGAAGGGACCGCAAGGGTCCTCTATTCCAGCCCCTGCAATGAAGGAATCTTTACCCCAACGTGGGGCTCGAACGCACAACCCCGAGATCAAGAGTTTGATGCTCTACTGACTGAGCTATCAGGTGGGCAGTGTGTCTAGAGCCATGAACAGGAGCCCACCTCTTTGGTGGTGTTGACCCAAATGTCAACATTTTACCAAGAGTGACTACTGACCACCCCACAGGCCTCCTCAGAAAATCAGGCTGGCAGATCTCAGACTTCTTAAGTCGCCAAGCACTGCTTAAAAAGACAATCCTCTTCTACCCAATGCTTACCTGCCACTGTGAGCTGGACGGTCGCTCTGATCTCTCCCTGAGGGCCGTTGGAAGCAATGCAAGTATACTTTCCGGCGTCGCTCCTCGTCACTTTACGAAAGCTCATGTTTCCAGCATTCTGACTGACCCGGGCTGGCAGGCTGCTCCCGTCTGGGTAAAGGAGTAGAGAGATCATTCAGGAGCAGATCGCAAGTAGCCGACTAGGACCTACCATGTCCTGGCAAAGGATTAGCTTTGCAGAGATGGGAAACTATTGTCAACAAAGGACAATGAATGTTTTAGAAACCCAATGCAAACCTCCTGCGCTTCTCTGCAAAGCAAAAGGCGAACACCTAGAGACATTTTTTTTGCAGTAAGGCCTGTCGATACAAAGCCCATTGCACATTCCTCACCGGTTTTAATCCACTGGATTGCAGGCTTTTCCCGGCCTGTGGCAGAGCAAGAGACGGTGACCTCTTTATCAAACTCGACACACTGCTGAGGCTGAGGGGTAGGGGTGAACTTCAGCTTCTCTGGAATTAAAATGCCCGGGTAAGAAGACATGAGCATAGTAATCAAACACCAAACAATTAATCCTTAGGTCTCCTTACAAGACAGTTTAGCGCTTCTGGGCGGCACAGGCTCAGGCACACGAGGCCCTGAAAAGGCTCCAATTCTTCAGGAGCAGGAGACGCACGCTGACCGATTGATTCATAGCCGGAAGGGATTCCCAGGGGTCATTTAGCAATGAAGGAATCCCAGCTGAATTGTGAGGGCATGCGTTTGTTTCGTGTAGCGCATGCATACAGAAAACGAGAAGAGTTCGCCCCCAACAGGAGTCACATACCGAGGACGTGCACCCGAGCCTGCTCCTCAATTCTCCCAGCTGGTGTGCTGCTCACACACTTGAACACTGTCCCATCGTACACTTCCACGTTGTTAATCCGCAGCGTCCCATTCTCGGCAATTTCAAAGCGGGAATCCTGCCAGATGTGAAGAAATGGCCGACATATGATGAGCGCAAAGGCCTTTTAAGGTCCCCCAAGCCAAAAGAAACAATTCCAGGGGGTGGGTTTTTTTTGCAGGCTACTTCTTCCGTTTCCGCTGCCAGAGACTACACCTGGATCTTTATTTTTTACCCTTATGCCTTTTCAGAGCCCCAAAGGTTCACTTTGATCAGTGGAATTGGCGCTTTTGCAGGCGCAACGTAATACTGCACTGCATCTGTAAGAACTGGATCGTTTAGTGTGGCAGCATCAACACTGTGGAACCACCTGCCTATTGATATCCGGCAAGCGCCTTCCCTGCATTCTTTTCAATGCCTGCTGATGGCATTCAAGAATAAATTATTGGGAAGTTCTCAATGTCTCTTTTTAAAAATTATTATTATTATTATTATTATTATTATTACATTTACATTCTGTTGCAAACCACCCAGAGTGGCTGGGGTAACGCAGTCAGATGGGTAGGGTACAAGTCATAAACTATTACAAATTGTTGTTCTTATTCAGACAAGCCTACCCAGACGTTTAGAAAGTGTGCACGAGTTTTAATTTGTTTTAGTCCATTACATTGCAGTTGTAACTTTCTGCACGTTTGAAATCATGGCTGTCAATTTCTCTGTGATAATTTCACCGTTTTATCTTTTCTGTAAGCTGTTTTTAACGGGCCCCACCTCCAATCAAGCAGTAAATAAATTGATGATATAACTAAATCATCAGCAAGTTAGGGCATCCCTGATTTGCCTCAGAAAAGAATAGCAAAGAACCACTAAATATAAATAAAAATCGGAAGAGGCCCCCCCCCATTTTTTAAAAAATTCTGTTTCTTAAAAAGTGGAACTAGGAAAGGGAAAAGTCTGTTTTGTAGGCAGCAGAACTGGCTCTGGCACCAGCCCCAAAGCCCCACGGCAGAATTCGAAAGAACCTCAAGCGCCCCCTTTTTCTTCCTGGCACAGTCAAGACTCCACCACCGACGGGGTTCTAGCTGGCTCTTGTCTGCAACAGCCAGAACAGGGCCCTGTTTCTAGAAGCATCTCCCAGGGGAAAGGGGGGACTGAAAAAGGAGACTGCAAATGAAAGCCTCTTTAGTTCTGTGTCAGATGCTTGAGCCCGTCTCCCTTTTGTTGTATTATTTTTTTTTAATGAAAAGGATTTAATTGCATAATAGGATTAAGCCGGTTGGAACCTGATATACATGCATACGCACATATATAGACAGCCACGGGACACAGTCAGCTGTTGAACTGCAAGACCACACAACGAGGGTTTAAATGAGCATGTGCGAGAGAGAGAGAGAGAGAGAGAGAGAAATGGGAAATGGCGGCTCTGACCGGAGGCCACATGGCCATGTTTAATTGGGTTGGTTCGCTGCAGCGGCGTAGCGTGGGTTGTCAGCACCCAGGGCAAGGCAAGTAATTTGCGCCCCCTAACCCGGGGCAAGGCAAGTAATTTGCGCCCCCTAACCTGCCGCCGCTGCCAGCTTCTTCTTGCTGCTGCCTGGTCTGGTCTGGTGTGGTTCTCTCCCGCGCTCAGCGCTGCGCTGGGCGGCCGCTGCACTGTCCCTCCCCCAGATAGTCCCTCGCTCTCTCTCCGCACCGCACGCCTGGCACCCACCCCCTCCACAGTGGGCGGCGACCCAGCAGCTTGGATCGGATTCGCACAGCCAGCACTGCAGTGAGAGAGAGTGAGTGAGCCAGGTAGGGGCAGAGAGCTGCGAGTGCGAGCGCGCGCCCCCCAGATGTTGCGCCCGGTGCGGCCGGCCCCCCCCTGCACCCCCCACGCTATGCCACTGGTTTGCTGTGCTGTAATAGGTGGGGGGGCCCTTTCTTGACGGCACCAATGTGCCCCTTCTTGAAACCCACACTGTATTTGGGGCACAGGCATGTACACTCACATACAAAAAGGCATCCCTAAGACACAGGCATAATGCCTCTGACAACCAGCTGCTGGGAATCACAGGTGAGCCAAGTGCTGTTGTGCTCATGTCCGTTTTCAGGCTTCCTGCAGGCAGCTGGTCAGCCAGAAAGCTGTACTAGATTATTATTATTTATTTAATTTACATACCGCCCTGTACCCGGAGGTCTCCGATGGGGCCACTTGGATGGGCCCCAGGTTCGTCTTATGAAGCACAAATGAGAATCCTCTACAGTCATACCTTGGGTTACAGACGCCTCAGGTTGTGTTTTTTCGGGTTGTGGACTGCCAAAACTCGGAAGTACTGGGACAGGTTACTTCCAGGTTTCGGCGATCGCGCATGCGCAGAAGCGCTATATCACGCTTTGTGCATATGCGCCGCTGCAGGTTGCGGATGCTGCGGGTTGCGGACGTGCATCCCGCATGGATCACGTTCACAACCCGAGTGTCCACTGTACTCCTGTCCCTGAAACAGTAAAAAGAGAACTGGGTATGGGCAGGGGCAGGGAGAGGATGCACTTCTTAAACTTGTAGGGATGTGGGTGGCACTCTGGTCTAAACCACTGAGACTCTTCGGCTTGCCGATCAGAAGGTCGGCGGTTCGAATCCCCGTGACCGAGTGAGCTCTTGTTGCTCTGTCAACCTAGCAGTTCAAAAGCACGCCAGTGCAAGTAGATAAATAGGTACTGCTGTGGCGGGAAGGTAAATGGCATTTCTGTGTGCTCTGGCTTACGTCACGGTGTTCTGTTGCGGCAGAAGCGGTTTAGTCATGCTGGCCACATGACCCAGAAAGCTGTCTGCAGACAAACGCCGGCTCTCTCGGCCTGAAAAGCGAGATGAGCGCCATCATCTTTGGACTCAACCATCCAGGGGTCCTTTACCTTTTACTGCTTAAACTATAACACTGGGCAACAATTTTTTACTTTTTGAATGTTGTCTAGATTTCTACAACTGATTTAGGGTATTTTTGCACTGCTGAATCAGGAAATGCCATCCATTTCTCTCCATCAAGTCAGGTTTACTGTAAACTGATTGGTGAGCATTGATAAAGGTAAGTACATGTAAATTGCATGTTGCTTCACCATTTTTCAAACTTCAGGGCTTGAACTTCCGTTTCTTGGAACTCCTGGAATGCTCAGCGGCAGGGAAGTCTCTCTTCAGAGTCCAACAGTAGTCAGCCATCATGACTGCGTCCCAGCGACCCTGATACCTGGTCTTCATCTCTTTCATGTCCTGATGGAATCTCTCCCCCTGCTCGTCACTCATTGAACCCAGGTTCTCAGGAAACCGGTCCATATGTGAAAATAGGTTGTGCATCTTGACGCTCATGTTGCAGCCCAGGTTTCTGAAAGCAGTCAGCATGTTGTTGACAAGTTCTGCGTAGTTTCTGGCCTTATTGTTGCCAAGAAAGTTCTTCACTACCAGAACAAATGCCTTCCACGCTTCCAGTTCCACTTCGTTCACTGACTTTCTGAACTTTGGATCTCTGATGAGCTGACGGATCTGAGGACCGTCAAAGGTGCCAGCTTTCAACTTCTCCATGGTCAATCCTGGAAAAGCCTGACACAAGTAAGTGAAGCAGTCACCATCCTTGTCCAGAGCCTTGGTGAACTGCTTGATTAAGCTGAGCTTGATGTGCAGCGGTGGGAAGAGTATTCTGTCTCTGTCCACCAGAGGGTCGTTGATGACGTTCCTTTCTTTGCAAGGCACCAATTCCTCCCGCACAGGCCAGTCCTTCTTCGTGTAATGCTGAGCATGGTCCCTACTATCCCACATGCACAGAAAACATGGGTACTTGGTGAAGCCAGACTGTTGTCCCAACAAAAAGTTCACCATCTTCAGGTCAACACAAATAAACCACTTATGCTGATCATAACCAATTTTCTCCAGCACATACTTCACCACTTCATAGTTCTCCTT